ATTTTTGTTTGCCCCCTTATAATTTGAAAAACTCTCTTTCATTCAAATTAAAGATTATAGTACCCCCAAATCCCAATTCAAAATAATCTGAAAGTTCCATAATTGTCATTTGTTAATCAAGACTTCGAAAATTTGAAAGGAATAATATGCCCAAAGTCTTCTTATTTTTATAAACGACTTTTCTTTGCCTTTTACTATAAGTGAAAAAAACATTTTTGGGTCCATAATTTCGCGGTCAACTCCACTATTAATATTCATGAAACTTATTTAATTACTCTCTCCGTTTCGATTTACTTGTCAATTTCTTACTTGATATATTTATTAAGAAAATAATAATTAATATAGTGAATTTACCATATATATTTTTTTTTATTAATTAATAGAGTCTCAAACAGGGGCGTCTCTAATAAATTAGTGGCCTAAAGACAAATCTGAATGGAGGTCTTAAATTCGAATATATATTTTTTATGAAGTTTTTATATAGCCAATTATTTAATCTTTCTTGAGACATAGTATTCATAATTTGTCGAACTTCTATTACTTCTTTACTCTTTTATGAAATGTTTTTATTTTCTACAAGTAATACTCGATATTTTTGGGGAAAAAAAACTACTTATAACCTTTTTTTAAAAAAATAAAATGAGGCCCTCAAATTTTGGGGCCTAAGGCAATCGCTTTTTTTTCAAAGCTGTAGAGCCGCTCCTGGTCTAGAATATATTTACTCACTACATTTTTCAAAGATATCAACTCAATGTTAATATGAAGGTATAAGGGCATCTCCAACCCTGCCCTCTATTTTACTCTCCAAATATAGAGTTCTCTATTTTTTTAGACAACCAACTCTAACCCAATTCTCTATTTTACTCTCTAAAAAAGAATCTTTTTCTCTCTCCTCAATATTATATTATTATTTCTGTTTCATTTGCATTTCCTTATTTCATAATATAAATCCTTTCTCCTTTTTTTCTTCTTCAAATAATCACTTTATATAATTTTTATGTAATATAAAATTTTATTTTTTCAAATTCATTATTTAATATAAAATTTTATTTTATTCTAAATTTCTAAATAACATAAATTGCAAGTTTTGATATAATATACAAATTAATGGACAATTCAAGTAAAAGTGAAATCATCAATGAAATACAATTGCATAAAAATTACATAAATCAACGAGCACAACCGCAACAATTCTCTGGATCATACACTAATTTTTTTTCGAATATTGTTAAATCTGAAAATGACCTACCGGATTACTGAATTATTGTTGCGATAAAATTATTATGTACTGTATCTTATATTTAAATTATTATGTTATGTATTATATTTTTAAATTAAAATTTTCATCTTATCATTTTACTTTTGTGCATTCTTCATAGTGAAAATTAATAATAATATCAAATTATATTAAAGTGATGAAAATTTAAAAAAAATTGAAATATTATTAATCCGGGATGAAAGTAGTGTATATCAAATAATATATTTTTAAAAATGTCATATTACATTTAAAAAGAATTACGAATGTTAGATATTTAATTAATGACCTTATATTAAAAATAATGTGTTAATTACAAAATAATAGAAATATAATAAAATAATGAAAAAGTGAAATAAAGAGTGTGTAGTAGTTCTCCAAATTTGGAGAACTACTATTCACCTCTCTATAAATGAAGAATAGAGAGTTAATTAAAGAGTGGTTGGAGAGCCCATTCTCTATTTTACTCTCCAAATATAGAGAATGGAGAGTAAAGTAGAGGTGGGTTGGAGATGTCTAACATAGGAAAAAATTGTTCTTCCTGGAATTTTCAAAAATAACAAATAAATATAGAAATTAAATTAAAAAATATTTAACAAGTAAATCAAGAGAGAAAGTATTAAATTATTTGTTAGACTACACGACCTAGATATTGGATCAAAAAGGTGATTCTGCATGTGATTGCACTCCACTTGTCTGCATTATTTTAATAATCAACTTAGGGATATATATTAGGTAACAACCTAATTGACGTTTATTATATCCAATTAACTTCTTTGTTTTTGGTTTGGATTTCGTGGAGAGGAGGGGATTAGATCTTAAGCTCTACGTTGAGAAATGATATTTTTATTTTTTCCAAAAAAAAGATCTACTTTGAACTTTTATTTTCATTTGGTATTGGAGCCTGTATTGGAATCTATTAAATTCGGATAATGCTCTAAATAGGATTTTCTTCATACCCAGGACTCAAATTCGAAACTTCTGATTAAGAGCGAAGCAATTTCACCAATACACCACCATCCATATTGGTCAACGGTGCACTTAAAATTATCCAAAATAGGATGGTCTTGTACTACATTTTGTTTTTGGCACAATAATAAGCTTGCAAATTGCCAGTTGACTTGAAAAAATATACTCCCACATGCACTAACATTTTTCACTGCATCAAAGATGAATTTTATCATAATTAATTAACAATAATAATTTAATTATCATTAAATATAAATTTTCTTTTTGTAAATGTTCCAAAATCTATAAGATATTAAATCTTATGACAATTAACTCATGGTCACTTGTCATTTTCTTAATTAAATCAATACATGGACATACTATATAGTTTGGAAAAATCGTTCTCAGACATCGGTTTCTAAGTCAAATATTAAACGCATTATTCATTTTTGTCTTATTCTATTATTAAATGCATAGGTATTTTCCCAGAATATACTAATCAGTTGTATGACTGGACTGTATTAGAATGACAATCGAATTGATTAGAGCAAGGGTGGGGTAAGTGGGTTCAAACGAACTAATTAACTATATATATATATATATAAAATAAATTGATTGACAATTGATTGATAAGAAAAGGTGGTAAAAATGTTTTTCACACTACTATTGTGAATTCGAACTTAGAACTCCTAACTCTAGCTCTGCATCTGATATCAAAACAAAGGATTTCTCTATTTTGTTATTTTGAGGCTTCAGTAGAATCCTTTTTTGATCATACTTGTTATCAATTTTAAGAATCACAAAAATTAAGCTAATTAATTTGATGTAATTTAAAGATTTGGTAAAAGCTATTTAATTTATTCAACGATCTAGAAGTCGAATACTTCTAAAAGAACTGTTAGCTTGCTGGCAAGCAATTTGATTTATTCAAAGTAATCTTTATACAGATGTTTAAGCAAACATGAACACTCAAATTAAACACCAAGTCTTCTCTTGAAATTATTGATTTTTCTGTCTATGTAAAGTTTACGGAAAAAGAGATTTAAGTTATATACATCATCAATATAAAAAAAATTGATTTACAATATTAGATCACTTTTAATTATTGTAGCAGATATTACAAATTCCACATATTTTGACAAAGACTAACGCCTAACTTATTTCAGGTCACAATTTTTTGTGAATACTGAATTTCATTTCATGATACAATTAATATAGTAACGTGTCAAATTATTTTAGTAATTGCAATTAAGTCGAGTATAGTAAAATACTAAATTTATTTCCCAGTTGATTTAGAAGAATTTAAGTCTTTGTTTAAAAGTATTGCAATTTGCATTGGTCCTTACAATCCAAGTCATTGTCTAAATAATGTATTATAGGCCTAGCTAAAAAGTCATACTAGAATTTTTTACTAGGACTTTTAGTAAGGTAAAACATATAGTTGATAAGGTTGAGGGACCATATAATTTGAGGATTATTGGATATATCCTAATGTGTGACGTCATCGACAAAGTCGAATTAAAGTGAAGAACTGATAGATTTTTAGGCTGACAAGCTTCATAAATTTTACAGATGTTTTTGGGTTTGATAATGGCATATATAACTTGAGAGAGAAATTTGTGAGATTTATTTGATCAAAACAGAAAATACGTATTAATTATGTGCTTGGATCGTGAGTCGTGACACAATGAACCTGATATGTAGAGCTAGACAGGAAGTCTTCGACAGACACTCATCTATTAATCAAACATTTATGTACATATATATTTCTATTGATAGTATAAGTATAATAATACATTGCGTTCACAGAATTTTAAGTTACTTTATGTCACTCTTAGCTTAGCTTCTTGGATATTTAAGTTTGTTATTGTTATTATTAAAATAAAATTCAATTATACGTTAAAGACTGATTCAACTATGTACTAAGTCAAGTAAATTTATATAGGGAAACTGTAGACAAGTAGTACCAAAGTATGTGTGCATTTAATAAGTTCTAGGTCAAAGAATTTAAATTGGACCAGTATGTATTGTATTATATTATATTAAATTTTATAAGGCAAGTTATTATCTGAAGGGGGAAGAAGAAGTATAAAATAATTAAGTGGGTCTGAAGGGGCATTTGATTATGAGATCATTTATATTTAATTAGTAAATTATTTTATGTTTCTTTAATTAATATATTATTATGGCCTTGTGGGAATGAATAAGCTATATATAAAGCAAATGACTTTTTTTTCTTCTCATTATGAAGACCCGATTTAAATTTGTTACCCATGAATATAGCAAATTATTAATCTAACGCGTTTTCTAGTTCAATTCCCTTTTTTCCAAAAGCAATATTATGATGTTTTAAAGATAAATTGAAAAAATCACTTACCATAAAGTGTTACATACCTTTTTAAAGAACTTTGATTTTTTCAAAACGAAAGATTGTTAGATGGTTTATAGTAATGATGATGGTACTTCTTGCAACAATATTCCCCGGCTCATCTAGCTGGCGGATTCTCTCTTATATCTAAGTGTTGGTGACTCTGAATGGTCGCGGGAGAAAGGTTGGTGGGGTGAACTGGCACGCCAAGTGGTTAAAATAGATGAGGTTAACAAAGGAATGACAAAAATTGTAGTCATTTGTATAACGTTAGGGACATATATGTACTGATGATATTACAACGGAGGATAATATTTTAAAATTTTCAATAGCAGAGGGACAAGTACTGACCCTTCCCCGTTTTAACTAATCATATAAATGAACTAGAGAGACCAAGTAAGGAAAAAAAACAAAATGAAACTCAATACTAACACAGCATAAATGTATTTTTCACAAGCAAATTCAATGGCATCTTGTGCAATCCAGCATGTCACTGTTATCAAGGACTGTGAACTTGGATATCATAAGTAATTAACAAAAGTAAATATATAATACTAACTTGATTGAATCCCTGCATACCAGTCCATACCAAACAACGAAAATTGAATCGAACCCAAGAAACCGATGCAGGCTCGAGTGTGTTTGATTTATATCAACTTATAGTATGCAAAAACCAGCACAGGTATTCCAGCAAAAGTGTCATTCTCAATGGTGACATGGACATAACATATCATAAGAGCTATTGTAATGTTAATTGTCCTCCTGAACGATATCTTTTGGATTAACAGTAGCTGATAAATTATACTCATCTACCCGTAGCAAAGGCCTCTGCCCTTGGAAATGCACTCAGAAGTCATTTCATCAGTGGATTGTCCAGTAAATAAATGTCAAAATCCTGAGGCTCAAAGGTAAAACAGATCTCATCGCTGTCTTCCTTTTTTTCTTCTTTTTAAGTCAGAATTTGAGGGTACAAAGTAACAACAATCTGTTTGTGACATATGATTGATATACATTATGCCGTGATCCTGCATTGCTCCAAACGTTGGATTAGACCATACAAGTTTTACCTTTGAGATTATTAGTGGTGTCTCCCATAGCTGTTCCATAGATATTGGCTGGATCCAACAGTAAAAATCCTATGAAAGCAGCCAGCTTGACTTTTCCTCACGACATGCTGTGAAACAAGATTTCTGGTACTTGGAAAGGACATCCAACATAACATTACATTTTGCCATTTAGCTTGTTCCGTTTGAGGAATAAACCACTTCAGAAATAGACATCCTTATCATTCTTCCATATCACTAATGGTCTTGGAATTCCTTAAGCTCTCACAACCTGGACAATTGTGCAAGCTCTCATGTATATAAATATCACAATCAAGGCAGAAGTGTTGTTTGCAGTTTGGACAAGCAACCTGCGGACCTGGCAAATTTCCTGCATCAAATCAAATAAAGAAGAAAGTGAAACAAGCAAAATGTGAGAATATCCTGATGAATGAAGAGCAAAGTGGAACAAGCAAAAAGTGAGACTCCTGTACATTAAGTTTGCATTAGGCCAAACACATGGACATCCCCCTTAAATCTTCTTGTTGCCACGACTTTTCACTTAGACACCTCGATTGAGGTTATTATCTTTTAGACAACTTAACATATATCCAAATTATGACGTTTGAAGTTTGAACACCTCACATTAATGTGGCAGAATGAGTGACTTTCACAGTTTTGAGCGCATAAATTGTAATGTAATTTTTTTGTTTTATTTCTTTCTTCTTCTTTCTCTTCCAGCTCCTCTCTGCTGCTGCCACCACCTCCCCAAATCAGTTTGGACATGCAACCAATCACCAGAAACCACCGCAGCCTTCATCTCTCCCTCCTAAATAGAATCCCACCAGCAAAAAATACCAACTAGCGATCCTTCAGTTTCCAATAAGAGAAATACCATCAGAAACCAAGACTCATCAATGGAGAGAACACCATTAATAAATAGAACGCCCAGCTTTTACTACTACAGCACATCATCCATTCACTACACCATTCAACAACATACCCAGTGTAGTGAATGGTAATTCACTACACCATTCCAACCTGACAGATTGACGGCCTTCCAATTTCAAGCAAAACCCCTCACACCCACAACTGTATCAACACTTAAATCTAACGAAACTAAGGGGATGGCAACCCATGAACAAGTAGAAGAAAAAGAAGATGATGAACCTCATTTGTTCAGTCTAACAAAGCATCCATTGACAGTCCGTGATTTTGAAGCCGTGAACTGTGGGCTATATAACTTTACCTGAAAAAAGACAACTCTATTGGGCCTATAAAGTAAAACATCAAGATGAATGTCATGGAAATGAAGATGCTAAGATGGATGGGCAGTCATACAAGACTAGACAAGATTAGAAACGACCACATTCACAAGAAGGTTCAAGTAACACACATCGAGGAAAAAATAAGAGAAGGACACTTGAGATGGTATGTTTATGTCTTGCATTGAACTTCAAATCCACCGGTTTGTTGCTATGTGGTGAGAGAAAGTAATAAAAAGGGAAGAGGTACCCCTAAATCACATGGAAGGAAGTTGTCTTGAAAGACTTACAATCTATCGAGGTTCAGGCAAGGCTTAGTGAAAGATAGGGCACAAAGGAAGAGAAAGATCTATGTAGGAGATACCTATTAATTAAGAATATGTTTTAGTCATGCTAACACTTATACTTTACGTCCTATACTTTAATCGGAGTTGTTTACTGTTTCAGAAATTTATGACAGTAGCAAATTATAAAGAACTTCATATACTTTTTATGTTGCTTTATTTTATTACTATTACTTTATATAATGTTGGCCTGAGATGGTTTAACTGGAGTAGTATGGTCAGTGAGGATTCCTATAGCCGACACCAACTTGCTTGGGACTGAGCTTTAGTTGTATTGTTGGGCAGCTGAGTAAGGTAGGGATGACTTGAGTATTTATAGGCATGATATGTGTTTTTTAGAATAGAGTGACATATTTCTATTTTTTCTTGTTTTTTGAGGTATTTGGAGAGCAAATTTATGGAGAGATTTTCATGGGTTAAAGGAGAAAATGGAGGAATGAGCCGGAGAGAAATCAGACAACGGAAGGGTGAGGTTGGGGAAGATAACAAGGTGGGGTCTTTTTTTTTCCTTCTAAAGATAGTGTTTTCTTTTTCCTTTTTTAATTAGTTGGATTCAAAAGCCACATGGCTTTGTTCGATTTACCTTCTTTTTTTTGACGTAGGTAACTGTTTCCATTACTGTAACACAGTACATGGGTTCACTGAAACCATATTTACAAAAGTACTCAAAATCCACTGTCATATCCTTATAATGAGTCAAAGACATCAATGATAGAGACTAGGGGTGTCAAAAATGAACTCAAACATAGGTAACCCGCCAACCCGCCCAAAATTTTAAGGGTTGGGCTCAAGATAATTTGAGTTGGGTTCAATCTCAACCCATTCAAGCCTAACCCATTTTAAGAGAATCCTCAATTGAACCCAATTCAATCTCCAATTTCAACCCGTTTTAAAACTCTATACTAAGATATGTTCCTGTATTAAAGGTATGATTATCTATTTAACATCTTTTAGGATTTATCTATCAATTTGTTACTTTTTTTAAAAAAAAAAACTTGAGCTGAAATTCGAATTGTGATTATAAAAGTTAAATATCACTATGTTAAAATTATTGAGATTAATCGGATCAAATTGGGTGAGTCAAGACCCAACCCGTTTTTTAGCCCATCTGAACCCAACCCATTTGAGCCCAAAGTAAACTTGGGTGGGTCAAGACCCAACCCGATTTCTATTTCAATCCATTTTAATATCTCTAATTTCAACCCAACCCGCCCATTTGACACCCCTAATAGAGACAGTATCATTAGAGTATATCTAGTTACACCAAAAACATAAAGTCAAAATACAATTCATTTTGACTTGTTCTATAGTATTCTCCATATTCTCAAAGACTCTAAGGTTCCTCTCCTTCCATATTGTCCACCATATAGCTGCAGGTACAACTCCAGTTGTTTCTGTTCTTATCGTGAATGCCTGCTTCATCCCAACTGTGTAATGCTTCTGTGATTTTCCCTGGCATGGACGAAGATATGTTTTTGAGACATAGGAATAATCTCCATAGTTGACTTGTGACCTTGCAATGTATAAATAGATGAACCATTGTTTCTGCAGTTTCCCCACAGAAAAAACATCTCGAACATAAAGGGATCCCCTTTTTCATCAAGTTATCTTGTGTTAGCACTACCTCCTTAGCCAATAACCAGACAAAGCAAGCTACTTTGTGTAGGATGATGCTTTCCAAATGTGTTTCCAAGGCCATCGTAGTATCTGCTGGTTTGGTTGGTTCATCTTCATGTAGACTGCATTTACTTTAAAAGTCCCGTTACTATTTCCCTGCCACTGTAGGATGTCTTGTCCGGCCTTCAAACCACTGAAATGGTCGATGGTGCTGAAGAATTTTGTTACTCTTGGTATTTCCCAATCATTGAGGTGTCTCCTGAACACAAAATTCCACCCTTGAGGTGTCCACAATTCTGCTATTGTGCTCTGTTGATGTAAAACTTAGTTATAAATATCTAGGAATAATGTCTCCATGCTGCTTGCTTCATGTCAATCAGCCTTCCAGAAGACAGTTTTAACTCCATCTGCCACTTTGACTATGGTATTAACTTTGAATTCATTCCACAAAATTCTGATAGATTTCCATAAGCTAACACCATAAGGAGTAGTGACCTCCTTTGTCATCCAATTATCGTTCTCCTCATATTTAGCTTTAATGACTCTAACCCATAGACTTCGATTTTCATTTGAATATTTCCATAGCCATCTCATTCTTAAAGCTTTACTCTGATTCTTCAGATTTTTGATCCCCAATCCCCCAAATCTTTTCTCATTGATCACTGCCTTCCATTTGACTAGGTGGTAACCCTTCCTGTCTGTGTTCCCTTGCCATAGAAATTTCCTCCTGATGCTATCCAACCCATTGATGATTCCTAGTGGGATAGGAAATAATGACATCATATACGTTGGAAGTGCATCGAGCACGGAGTTTATCAAGGTCAATTTTCCACCCATGGAGAGATATTGGGACTTCCACCTTGCTAACTTCTTCTCACATTTCTCAAATCTCCTCATTTCATATTTCCATAGACATAGAGCTGGTCCCTGAAGGCAATCCAAGGTAGATAGTTGGTAGAGCACCCACTTCATACCCTAAGATTGTCTTTTAAGATTTTCATGTTTGGCACTTCATTAACCGGGTATAAGAAGCTTTTCCTTTGATTAACATGTAAACCTAACATTCCTTCAAATATTACCAAGATCAGTCTCAGTATTTTGAGATGCTCTTCTTCAGCATCACAAAATATAAGTGTCATCTGCATACTGAAGACGAGTTATCTTCAAGCTATCCCTTCCAGCTCTAGCAACATCAAATCCTCTTAACCAACCTTCCCTGTTTGATATCTTAATCATGTTGTTCAGACCCTCCATGACTAAGAGGAACAAAAAGGGTGATAGAGGATCACCTTGTCTTAGGCCCCTCTGTGAATTAAAATAACCTGCTGGTGAACCATTAATAAGTACAGAGAAGTTCACTGTTGAGATACAAAATTTAATCCAGTGCTTCCATTTGCGTCCAAATCCCATCTTCTCTAGCAGATCCATAAGAAAGCCCCAATTGACATGATCATATGTTTTCTCAATGTCTAATTTGCATAGGATTCCGGGTTTCTTCAAGTTCACCATGGAGTCTATTACTTCATTTGCTTTGAGGGAAGCATCCATAATTTGTCTTCCTTTGATGGATGCCAGTTGTTGTGAGTCCACAAGCTTTAGCCATCACTCTTTTCAACCTTTCAGTAAGCACTTTGCAGAATAGCTTGTAAATACTACCTATCAATGGGTCTGAAGTCTCTTAATTCTTTAGCACCTTTCTTCTTTGGAATAAGAGCTATGAAGGTAGCATTGAAACTTCTTTCAAACCTTCCTTGCTCGTAGAAATTCTGGAAGGTCTTCATGATATCATTTTTTACCACTTCCCAACACTTGATGTAGAACCCCATTGTAAACCCATCTGGACGGTCCAGGCGCTTTAGGCATTTCAGTACCTCCTCCTCATCAAATCCCCTTTCTAAATCTTCCATTTCCTCCACTGTCAGCCTTGGGCAATTTGTGAAGTTGCTGGCAGGTCTTGCCATTTTACCACATCATCGCATGTAAACTCATGCATTTTTTTTACTAACTAGGAATGACGTGTTCAATAGGCACATTTTAGACATACATTAGGTGTTTGATGGGTAACAGCTTCAATTAAGGTGTCTAAATAAAAGGTCGCCGCAACTTTAAGAGGTTGTCTATGTATTTGAACTTGCATAAAGAAGAGATAAATTGCTTCCTTTCCAGGTTTTATGATCCCAAGCATGTTGTCCAAGCACAACTCATTTTACAGAATAATTTCCTAATTCATCACACAAGTTACAAGAAATTTGTCTTCATCATAGAAATTCAGAAGCTTCTGATTTCAGAGAAACTAAAGGTTGATTGAACATGTCAGGTTGTGGAAAGAGAGGAAAAGGTTTGGGAAACGGAGGAGCAAAGCTTTTCACCGTAAGGTCCTCTGTGATAACATTCATTGAATCACAAAGCCAGCCATTAGGCATTTGGCATGTAGAGGGGCAGTGAAGTGTATCAGTAGGCTAATCTATGAAGAGACTCGTGGGGTGCTCAAGATCTTCTTGGAGAATCTGATTCCTGATGCTGTTACTTATACTGAGCATACTCGTAGGAAGACGGTGAGTGCTTTGGAGGTTGAGTATGCTCTCAAGAGACAGGGCAGGACTTTGTATGGTTTTGGGAGTTGAGGGGAGGTTTGGTTCTGACTTTTGTTTTGTCTGCAAAAGTCTTGCTGTCAAGAAAAGAATAGTTATGTTAATGTTGGTAAAGGATATGGGATTCTGCTTGGTGTGGTGGTTTAATTATGGTGTAATTAGTATGGTTCCTGTAGGGTACATATTTCTGCTATAGTAGTAGTACCTGTTCTTTTTTGTAAGTTGGGATGTGGTGGAAGCTTGTTTCAGAACTATTGAAATTTGCTCTAATTCAATGAATACTATTGACTGATTCAAAAATAAGTTAAAAGAAATTTGGCAAAAAAAAGAAGAAAAAAAATTCTCGCTGAATACAAACACTAGTGTTTTCTTTTTCCTTTTTTTATTAGTTGAATTCAAAAGCCACGTGGCTTGGTTCAATTCACTAATTTGCCACACCCTCACATGTGAACTGACACATTTTATTTTTTCCAAGCTAAGCATGAAGTGTTCAATAGGCACATTTTAGACATACATTAGGGGTTTGTTCAGTATGGAAGAACACATTTTCTGGAAAATGTAAATAAGTTACACAAGTGGGATTCCACATTGATAGTGTCCTTCCTACCTTTCAACACACCTCATCTTCAGCCTCACCCCTGCAGCCTCCATCCCCACCACCCCACACACCTTACCCTTCACCTTCACCTCTCATAGTATTGTTCAAAATTCAAATTATCTACAAATGCTTTTCGGATAATATTTTTTGCCTGCGTACCGAACACACTCACTCTTTTGTAACTACTTTGCATCTTTTTGATGCCATGAATGGAATCAATTACTTCATCTAAAAAAAAGTAAGAAATCCACTTATTTTCCTAGAAAATATTTTCCACCGAAAACATTTTCCATCATACCGAACACACCCTAGGTGTTTGCGGGTAACAGCTTCAATTTAGGTGTCTAAATGAAAAGCCGTGGGAACTTTAAGGGGTTGTCTATGTATTAGGAATTGCATTAAGAAGAGACAAATTGCTTCCTTTCCAGCTTTTATGATCCCAAGCCATGTTTGTTCCAAACACAACTCATTTTACAGAATAATTTCCTAGTTTCATCACAAGTTACAAGAAATTTGGCCAAATCAAAAAACAATCTGGCTGAATACAAACACCAGTTTTGTTGTTTTTTTGAAGCTTGTACAGGTCTGAAAGTTAACTGGGGAAAGAGCAGTTTATATCCTATTAAGGATGTGACAAACATCCAAAGTCTAGCTGACATTTTGGGCTACGGAGTGGGGAAATTGCCCACAACTTATTTGGGTTTGCCTTTAGGTAATACACACAAAGACTTGAAGATATGGGACAACATAGTCGAGAGGACTGAAAAGAGACTAGCTAGATGGAAGGCTCAATACATTTCTTTTGGTGGCAGACACATTCTTATCAACTCTGTTCTAGACTCTCTCCCAACATATGTTATGTCTCTTTTCACTATACCGGCAAAAGTGGTTAAGAAATTGGACAAACTTAGGAGAGATTTCCTTTGGCATGGTTGCAAAGAGAACAAGGGATACAATTTGGTCAAGTGGGCGACAGTTTTGCATAGAAAAGATAAAGGTGGCTTGGGCATCAGAGATTTGAGGAAGCATAACAACAGTCTTTTGATGAAATGGTTGTGGAGATACACTGAGGAGAGGCAAGCTTTGTGGAAAGATTTGATTAAATGTAAATATGGGGAGGATGGATTCTGGTGTAGTAACATAAGCACGGATGCTTATGGAGCGGGGGTTTGGAGAGCTATTAGAAACTTATGGCCCAATTTAGAAGCAAATTTACATATCAAGGTGGGGGATGGAAGGAGAACTAGATTCTGGTGGGATGTATGGATCAAACAAACCCCCCTAAAAGACCTGTTTCCTGATCTATTTATTTTGTGAAACCAATTCTGAGGCAATGATCAGTGATTGCTAGACAGTACAAGGTTGGGATCTCTATTTCAGAAGACTTCTATATGATTGGGAAATAGAGAGAGTAGCCAAATTGTTGGAGGAAGTGGGGGATTTTGCAAGCCCCAATACTGGCAATGATGTTGTTAGATGGTCACACAGTAAGGATGGGATCTTCACAGTTGGCAGGGCATATAAAAAGGAGTACAACTCGCAAAGTAGCAGATACCAGAGTTCATGGAAAAATATCTGGAGGACTGCAGCACCAACAAAAGTTAAATGCTTTACTTGGCTGGTCATTAGAAAGGCATGCTTGACACATGAAGTCTTGAGGAAGAAAAGAAAGATCATACTTCCGTGGTGCTCTTTATGTGGAAAGACGGGGGAAACTAAAAGTCACCTATTCTTACATTGTACTTTCACAGAACAAATATGGTCCATGTTTCTCAACTATTTAGAAGTGAAATGGACTATGCCCGAACATACAACTGATTTACTTAGTTGTTGGATCAGGAGAGGAGGTAGCAAGAGACAGAAGACCTGGTGGAATTTGATTCCACATTGCATTTGGTGGACAGTGTGGAAGGAGAGGAATAGTAGGAATTTTGAAGATATATCCAATTCCATTCACAAGGTTAAATGGAATTGCATTGTATCTCTATATTTTTGGTGTAAAGAGATAGGATTAGAGGATTCAGATCAACTTTTAGAACTCTTAGGATCCTTGTAAGTATTATACTTTTTGTTCTTTTCTGATTTTTTAAAGGTCCCCAGCTTATCCTTAATGCTGAAGAATACAATGTTTACCAATTCTCAAAAAAAAAATACAAACACTAGTTCAACAGGCTACTTCCTTAAAAGACCAAATTTCAACATTGCTTGAAATTTAGCCTGAACACAGTCCTCAAAGGACATAATTAAAACAACCAGTGAGAAGCACAGAATTGTAACACAAAAGAACTTACTATCTTGGACATGAATAATTTAAGCTCTAGAAACTAAATATCTTGTTTCTTCTGTAGAACACTAGAGACATTTCTTTTGCTTAAGTTCAACAAAAGCTCAGTTACGATTACTGCTTGTTTTTTTTCTTTCGTTCTTTTTTTAATCGGACAAATGCACATACAAGATATCTCAGATGACAAACAATTATGTAAATGCCTTCTACAATTCTCTGTAGCTATGAACTTAAAGAAAGGAACTTTACTGACATCCTCAGCAACAGTAGATGCTTCAGGTCAGGGTTATGTACCCAGGGTTAATCTGATGAACTACTCCATTTGACAATTATCAAATTATCGATCATTCTAACATGTACATGGATGATGATAATATCTGCGAAACAAATGCAAATCTCAGGTGTTCTATTTTTATTTATTCAATTTGATAAGGAAGACCAGCTCAGGTGCTTCAGTGGGTCCCAGATTCACATTATAGGTTACTTACAATGCAATCTTGAGAGCAAACAGAAAAGACATATTTCCTCATTTTGGCATGAATCTTTTTTACCACTGGAAGTTTCAATTCTGAAAAGACAGATTTCCTTGTTTCTGCGGCATGAATCTTTTACCTCTAGATGGTTTCAATTTTGAAAATAAGCTTAAGAGTACTCTTACCAGGATTTAGAAGACTCAGTTGGCAACCAAAGCAATTCTTTGGTAACTTGTGAAAATCTTTCAGAGCTGAGGGTGACACGTCATCAAATGGCCTTATTGGGAAGAGATGGTGATATGACCTTGCCAAATGTGGAGAAGATACAAGGGTCAGTCCGCAGATGCAACACTCGGTAGGAAGCTCACATATACGTGCTTTGCATCTTGGACAAGTGTATCCACCGCCAACTTTAGCCTCTTTATGACATGAACAAATTGAAATGACACCCTCTGCTGTTCTTTGGGGGAACCCCATCTTGATCAAATTTGCAACAGCAAACTCTGCAATAGCTGGAGGAGGTGGGGCATGCTCCAATACCAACTCTTTTAAATGAGGCTGACAGAGCAATAACAAAGAATCAAATTATAAAAAGTTTTACAATATTATGCTTGCCACATATAGTTAATCATTATTCAATGAGACATTCTAATTTCTACATAGTAGGCAATTAGAACCAAATTTCTCCTAAATTTCCAGAAAAAGATTTCCTTATCTATTAGTTTTTGTTTCTCAAGTTCCCGTATTCCCATTACTTCAGAGCTCAATTATCAATTCCTTACCTCATCCAATGCAACAAAGTGCATTCCACCAGTCTCTTGGCAGAGATTTCCTTATTCTATTAGTTTTTGTTTCACAAGTTCTCGTATTCCCATTACTTCAGAGCTCAATTATCTATTCCTTACCTCATCCAATGCAACAAAATACATTCCACCAGTTTCTTGGCAGAGATGCTTGCATATGTAGAGTTCTGCAGAGAGACCAATTACTGAGCACCTTATCTTGGACGCTTTGCATTTTTGGATGGTTTCCAGTATATCCCCTGGATCACATGTGCTAAGAGCTGAATACAAGATAAGGGCTTCACGATGACCATACGATGGGATTTGATTTAGGAGATCACACACAAGATCTAGGCCATTCTGAAGGGATGCATCACCCGAGGTCCCCAATTTACCCATCAATGCTTTGATATGAGCCTCAGGACTGCCACCAAGATCTGTTAAGCAATGAGCTACTCCATCTTTCAAGATCACCAAGCCAATTTGACTCAGGGGATTCTGGTCAAAAAATTCTCTTATAAAAGCCTCCACTTGTCTAGCAACTACAACCATTCGGCTTGGTTTATAATCCATTTCTGCAGCTGCCTAAAATTCAAAAATCAAGTGAGCAATTATTAACTCAAAAGATGTAAAAGTTCATGATATTATGAGACATTACTGTCTCTCTTTCAAAAGTCATTTTAAAATCATCCAGACTTAATTGATTATGTCTAGATTTCTAGCTTTCCAAGTTTGTGTGGGTGTTGCGGAACTATAAGCATATAGGAAAAGTATCAAGTAGATGCAACCGATGCTCAGAAAAACTTTCAAGCAATGTGAAAAAAAAAACTAGGAAAATGTCACCAAAAAAAGGATGCTGACATCTTGAAAGGAGAACTATCAGCAAGAAGCTTATATGCAAATGTTTAAGATTGTTTATCGCAGCACCTTGTCAATGATGAAAGAAAACGTCTAATGCAGTGATGAGCACAACCCAATTAAAGGACATTTTCAAAAGGCAATAATTGTCTTAGACATACTCAATTCACAATTTTAGAATTTCAAAATGTGGTTTGGAGAAATATGGTGGCATCAAAACTGAAAGTAGGTATTCACTTGAATATTCATTAAATTCACTGATCAAAGACAACCCAATTGCACAGGCATACAGTAGCATGATTTTCTGAAGAAGTTACTAAGTGTTGGTTTCTCAAAGCCATTACAAGAAACGGAAATATACTTGGCTTTTATCAATATCTCATAGCATAATGAACCAGTTACAATCACTAATTCAGCCCTAGATGCAAATAGAAATCCATAAAACAAAGACCTGCTGGTTCTTTAAAAGGACCCTATTGTATTCCTTCTTAAAGAAGTTCAGCAGATTGTCTGGGAAATTGGACCCGATTAACTTCTTCCGGAGATAACTCATTTACAAACAGATAAAGATAGATGCTTAAATATTTTTTTCATATCTTACAATGAAAAACTAAACCTTTAAATGTCAGTAACCAATTACAGTAATGCAGTTATTGGCAATCATATAGGATTTTACGTACCCTGGAGAAATCAATGATAATGTAGAGGTACCGAATCAGACCCTTCTGAATTCGTGCAGCGGTTGCAGTGCGGAGACGTCGTCGATATTGAGCATGGGATAGAGTTGTGTTGTCAATTGGACGAAGGAGACCTGATTCATCCTCTTGCAAAGACTCCCATGATCTTTCATCTGCATAAGTTCTTTCCCATGCTTCTCGACCTCTCCCATTTTCCTCCTCATCCTCCTCTTCTTGATTAAATCGTTTTTCTTCATTGTTCATTTCCCTGTGAGATATAATGCCAACTCTTAATAAGATGACCAGATACTTGAGAAACTGATTGTACAAACTCAATATTAGTACAAGACTCTGTATGTGCGTGTTCTGAGGTCTTTACATTACACATCCTTATTGTATGCACTATTTTCCAATTTGAACCTAGTCCTTTGCTATTTCTATACTTCACTTTTCCCCCTAAAGTGTGTCGCACCCCATTTTCTCACAAAAGAGGGTTTCAACATGTGACAACTCTTTTAATGGGCTAAAAGTGAAGAGTTGTCACCTAATAGGATAAGGTGTGTTAGGACACCTAATTTTCTTTTTTAATTGAGGTGTCCGGGTCAGCTTGCATGCACCTTGATTAATTCCACGGGATACATGTACCTCTTACCAGCAAGAGGTACTAGGTAACATCCACCAAGGCTAGAACAAATGGGATGAAATCACCTTATTTTTTGTCTCTACTAGGATTTGAACATGAGACCTTAGGGTTCTCAACCCACTTCATTTACCACTAGGCAGCACCCTTATTGCGCGTTAGGGCACCTATTTACTACAACTAATTGCAAATAATTCCATTTACTAGTCTCCGCGACATGAGATCATTAAGAGTTCAGATTACCTCAAAAGAAAAGTGTTAGGCACCATTCAAGGTCCACAACTAGGTGGGATTTAAGTGCTTAAGGTAAATAATTCTAAATGACCTAGATGATTAAAGATTCAAATAATTATATTAACCAAAAGTGATATAAGTAAATGTTAATGCTATAGACAAAGCCCCTGGCCCTGATGGTTACACAATGGGGTTTTATCTAAAATGTTGGGACATCATTAAACAAGACATTATGGGGGCATTCCATAATTTTCACTTAACTAGGATGTTTGAAAAAAGCTATAATGCAACTTACATAGCACTGATTCCTAAGAAGACAGGAGCAAAGGAACTCAAAGACTTCAGACCCATCAGCTTAATTGGAAGCTTTTACAAGCTGATTTCCAAGGTACTGACAGAAAGACTCAAGAGAGTTGTGGATAAATTGGTAGACAAGCAACAAATGGCTTTTATCAAAGGCAGGCAAATAATAGATGCAGTGCTCATAGCTAATGAAGCAATTGATTCCAGAGTGACCCAGAAATATCCCGGTATATTATGCAAACTTGATATTGAGAAAGCATATGACCATGTGAACTGGGAATTCATTTTAAGTATGCTGAGTCAAATGGGTTTTGGTGGGAGCTGGACCAGCTGGATCAAGTTCTGTATCTCAACTGTGAAGTTTTCAATACTCATTAATGAGTCACCTGAAGGATTTTTCAATGCACATAGAGGGATCAGGCAAGGGGATCCCCTATCCCCTTTCCTGTTCATCATAGCCATGGAGGGACTCAACAACATGCTAAATATAGCTAAGATAACAGGAAGAATTCAGGGATTTGAAGTTAGCAAGGTTGCTGAAAACAGTGTAGAGATCACACATCTGCAGTATGTTGATGATACACTAATTTTTTGTGGGGCTGAGGAGGAGCAACTCTTGATAATAAGACTTATATTGGTGTACTTTGAAGCCATTTTTGGGCTCCATATAAATTGGAACAAAAGCCACTTGTATCCAATTAATGTGGTTCTAGAAATGGATCACCTTTCTCAGATCCTGGGAGGTGCGATAGGCACTTTTTTTTTTTGAAAAGGTAACTTGTATTATAAACACAGGAATACTCAGGATGTATTCCAGTAATACTTACAATCAGAAATACAAAAGTGTAGCTGTTTTCCTATGAACTCCTTAAGGACTCTAACATACTAGTGATATCCTCATCTTCATGAGGATATTCATGTTTACACCAAAAATAGAAAAGAGCTAAACATTTCAGCTTCATCTTCTCCATAGAGCAGCTCTTGTTCTCAAAACATCTTTGATTCCTTTCCAGCCAAATAGTCCACCAAATGCAGGCTGGGACAAACTTCCATCTCTCCCTGTGCCCCGACTGATTTCCATCCCGATTCCAACATGCCAAAGCTTCCTTTATGTTTCCTGGCATAGACCAACTGATGCCCCTTTTGTTGATGAAAATTTGCCAAAGTTTCACTGTCTCCTTACAGTGTAAAAAGAGATGATTTATTGTCTCTGTCTCACATTCACAAAAAAAACATCTGGAGCACAAATCGAGGCCCTTCTTCATACGGTTATCCTGCGTGAGAACAACCTGTTTTGCTAAGAGCCAAGTAAAACAGGCCACCTTGAAGGGCACCTTAACTTTCCAGATCATTTTCCATGGCCAGTAGCTTGATTGAGTGTGTGTCCTCTGTGAGTTTCTGTAAGCTGTTCCAACTGAGAATCTCCCCTGTGTATCTGGAGCCCATAACAGTTTGTCTTCTTCTCTGTTACTGAGTTCCTTGTATCGTTCCAGGATATTTAGAAATTCAACCATTCTATTCACCTCCCAATCATTTAAAGGTCTTCTGAACTTTAAATTCCAACCTTGAGCATCTCTCATTTCTTTGAGAGTGGCCACTTTCTGTAGACTCAAGCTGAATAGGTCAGGGAAACTAGCTTTAAGTGAAGCTTGTCCCGCCCATACTTCCTCCCAAAATAGAGTTTTTCCACCATCTCCTATCTTAATTGTGCACTTGTTTATAAGTTTTGGCCATAGATTCCTGATTGTCCTCCACACTCCGGTGCCATATGGTTGTGTTGCTATGTTGCTGATCCACCTTGTCTCCATTCCATATCTAGCCTTAATGGTGTCTTTCCACAGCGACTGTTCTTGTGATGCAAATCTCCACAGCCATTTCATTAGCAGGCTGTGGTTTTGTATTTTCAGATTCCTTGTTCCTAGTCCCCCTTCTTTCTTGCTGACTAAAACTTCATTCCACTTGACCAAGTGAAACTTGTGCTTATTTGGATCGCAGTTTCCTTGCCAAAGAAAATTTCTTCTAATGGCATCTAATCTGTCTCTTACACTTGCTGGCATAGGGTACACCGACATCATCTAGGTAGGCAAAGCAGCAAGAACACTGTTGATGAGAGTAGCTCTGCCACCCAGGGATAAATACTGACTTTTCCAATTGGCAAGCTTCTTCTCGCTTTTCTCCAGTACATTGTTCCATATGCCTTTTGATTTGCTCTTATCTCCTAGAGGCATTCCCAAATATATTGTGGGCAGCTCCCCTATCTTTCCTCCCAGAATATTTGCCAGACTGTCAATTCTAGGTACCTCATTGACTGGATAGATGTAACTTTTGCCCCAGTTAATGTGTAGACCTGAAGTTGCCTCAAACAATATCAATATTATTCTTAAAAACTTCAGTTGACTGATGTCTGCATCACAAAATATTAGTGTGTCATCTGCATAATGGAGATGTGAGATAGCTAGACTCTGTCTATCCCCCATGTTTGCATTGAAACCCCTTATCCAGCTGTTTGTCTGGGCTGTTCTTAGCATTTCATTGAGACCCTCCATTGCTAAGATAAAGAGAAAAGGAGATAATGGATCCCCTTGTCTCAAGCCTCTCTCAGATGAGAAGAAACCTGTGGGAGAGCCATTAATCAAAACTGAAAATTTCACTGTAGTGGTGCAAAATTTGATCCAGTTTATCCATCTTTCCCCAAAACCCATGTTTTCCAAAGTCTTCCATAGGAAACCCCAATTTAAGTGGTCATAGGCTTTCTCTATATCCAGCTTACAAAGAATGCCTGGGACCTTGCTAATTTGCCTCACATTTACACATTCGTTGGCAATCACAATAGCATCCATGATCTGCCTGCCCTTAATAAATGCCATCTGATGTGTATCTACCAGTTTTGAAACAACTTTTTTCAGCCTCTCAGTCAACACTTTTGAGATGATCTTATATTATATGCTACCTATTAAGCTAATGGGTCTAAAGTCTTTTAGTTCTTTGGCCCCCAATTTTTTTGGGATCAAGGCTACGAAGGTGGCATTGAAGCTTCTTTCAAAAATGTTCTGATTATGAAAGTTCTGAACTGCTGCCACTACTTCTTTGCTTACTATTTCCCAGCAATTGGTGAAGAATGCCATAGTGAATCCATCCGGCCCAGGTGCCTTGTCCCTCGCACATGCCATCACACATTCTTTGATCTCAGCCTCACTAAATTGACTTTCTAGCATTAAGTTATCTTCTTCGCTGATAACAACACCTGATCTATGGTTGAATTGAGGTCTCCATATCTCTGATTCTGTATACAACTTCTGATAAAATTTGACAATCTCCTCCCTGATCACTAATGAGTCCCTTGTACACTCACCATCCACCAGAAGTTTGTCTATATTATTATATCTTTTGTGACAGTTTGCAGTTCTGTGAAAAAACTTTGTGTTTTTGTCACCTTCTTTCAACCATATAGCTCTGGACCTTTGTCTCCACGCGACCTCCTCCTTTTTTGCATTTTCCTCAAACTCCACAGTGAGAGTTGTTCTTAGATAGATCTCATCATCAGATAACTGTCTCTGGTCTTGTATTACCTCAAGCTCTGTCACATGACTTAGGATACTCTGTTTTTGTAGTCCCAGGTTGCCTTGGCTAGTCCTACTCCACTCTTTTAGCTTGCCTTTCAAATATTTTAGTTTGTCAGCTAAAATATAATCTGGTCTGCCTCTGCAATGGTGAGATTCCCACCATAACTTTACTTTCTCCTTGAAATTTTCTGTCTGCAGCCACCAGTTCTCGAATTTGAAGAAAGAAATTGATCTCTCCCAATTTCCACATTCAAGAATTAGGGGACAGTGATCCGATGTTACTCTATGTAGGACTGATTGCTTGATGTTCCTAAAAGAGTTTTCCCATGCTTCAGAAATCAGAAATCTGTCTAGTCTGGCTGCAACATCATGGCCTTCCCCTTTCTTCCAAGTATACTTGTTCCCTGCTAATTGTAAGTCCACTAGCTCCATATCCTCGATGAACTCTGAAAAATCCCTCATGGCTTTATTATATCTTGAACAGTTCTTCTTTTCTGAAGGAAATCTAACGGTGTTAAAATCTCCCGCCA